ACCAAAAAGTACAGATATTGCTATGTAAGGAGAGTGCAAAATAAAGATGAGGTGGAGACCATTATAAGCAAGCCAATACAAATGGGACACATAGATGAAGGTGTGGAAATTATGGCAAAGAATAAAAGTGCAATCCAGGAGAGAAAGTGGGTGGCTAAAGAAAGGGAAAATGATTTTGAGGAGGGAAACCACTTCTATAGATTCCTTGAGCACGAACCGTTTATCTCCAAATGCTTTAACTTCCGAGGTGCCACAAATGATACTGAACCGAAGGCTGCAGCTGCAGTGTGTGATAGGCTTACCAAGATTATGTGTGCCATTCTTGAGTCTTATGCTTCTGAAGAGAGACGACATGTTGATTATGTGGCCATTAGCAAAAGCGAAGAGTTTCGGAGGTATGGCACATGCAAACATTCTGTGGATTTTTTCAATATGCATATCGCAAACAAGGCTGCATGTCTTTTGTTCTCGTGTGTACCACTTATAGTTCATTGAGTTCCTGCTTCTTCAAAGTTTATTTCTTGCCGATCCATAATTTTATCATTGCTCACATCCCTTGTGAATTAATTATCTAACGACTGGCAGTGGTGCCAAACTATTATTCGTGGTAATAAAGTAATAATTTACAAACCATGATAAAATGTTAATCATATGAGTTGGAATAATTTACAAGACAATTCCTTGTTGTCTATGCTAAACTTGTTATTTTTTCCCTGCATCATCTCTGTGCTCACTGTTTTGTTAAGAATGCAGTTAACTTTTAATCAAGTGCATGTACTTTTGATATACTTGTAGAGAACAAAAAAAGGAACTATGTGCCACAGTTATCATCTTTTACGTATCTGAAGTTAATTTCTTGTTTCTAACTGCAGGTATGTAAACATGACCCAAGATCTGCAGCGTGTGAATCTCTTGGAATTATCAGAAAACGAGACGCTTGCCTTCTTCTTGAATTTGTACAATTCCATGGTCGTCCATGCTATGATTAGAGTAGGGTGTCAAGAAGGTGTAATTAATAGGAGATCCTTCTCTGATTTCCACTATTTGATTGGAGGCCATCCTTATTCTCTTAGTACTATTAAAAATGGTATCCTCCTCTCCAGTTGCCAAACTTACTACTGTAAGGCTGCTCCTTGCCTTGGCTGCTACTCAAAATTGGTACTTAAAGCAATTAGACATAAACAATGCTTTCTTACATGGAGATCTCCATGAGGAAGTTTACATGACTTTACCTCCTAGAATTTACCATAATCAGCCACACAAAGTTTGTAAACTGCAACGATCTTTGTATGGCTTGAAACAAGCCAGTAGACAATGGTATGCACGACTCTCCTCTTTTCTCACCTCTCATGGATACAAGCAATGTTCCGCAGATTACTCTTTGTTTTTAAAACATGGTTTCAACTCTCTTACTGCCCTACTAGTGTATGTAGACGATATAGTATTGGTAGGAAATGACATAGTGGAAATTTCAAACATCACCCGATTACTTGATCTCACCTTTAAGATCAAAGATTTGGGTAACTTGCGATTCTTCTTAGGATTTGAGGTTGCAAGATCTTCTGCTGGTATCAATATCTGTCAGAGAAAGTATGCCATTGATATTTTAAGTGATTCAGATATGCTTGGTTACAAATGTAACGACCCGCCACGGTCTCTACACTTAGTGGAATCGCACTACAACTAGTTAACTAAGAGAATATTAAACTGGATAACACATACATACAGGCATAAATATAAAGATCGAAATAATTAAGTTTCTGTATATAAAATATAGCACCATATATGTACAGTCATCCCAAAATATTCCTTAGTGCCGGTCAAGCACTGACAAAAAAAATGTTACCCAGAATGGTAACTCAAAACACGAGACTCAGCTCCTCGTCTCACAACGATCATCTCTACTCCCAAGCTATCCCTGACCTGCTCCCATACCAAGTATGATCATCGCAGTTCCACCACATGGAAAACAAAAGGGTAAGCTAGAATTCAAAGATCAATAATACAAGTACAGAATAAAAATCTATATTACACATGCATCCCAAATCCTGTCCCTAAGGAACCTTTCATCTCAATCAATCATTCATTCACCAAACATGAAGTCAAACACCACACTTCATCATATTAATAATCATGCAATGAATGCAACTCATGACAGATATGCATACATATCAATCATCTAATGCGTCGTCACGCATACACCTAGGAGATCTCCATAACAATAGAGCTGTATAAGTGACATTCCATCCTACCGAAACCACCCCAACCGTTTTCACGCCCAATGCGCCCGCTCGGTCACAGCTAAACAGGATATATAATCCTCACTCGGGTTTACTCGGATGATGTCACTTACACACTTGGAAGTCCAGATCCACCGTCAGGTATAGCACAGCTGGGTACGGGCTTACCACGACCTTGGCATGCATTAACCAAGTCAATTGTGGAGTTCGCCCACCGACTATCCGCAAGGATCCACGCACCTTCCCGAGTACTTGGTTAAGGGAATAACCCTCGACCTCATACCCCGCTCCAACACTAGCTAAGGACTTAGAGGAGACTCACCCAACCCAGTGGCCTATCTGAGCACCACTCTCCCAAATCCAGTGGCCTCCCAGAGCACCACTCTCATATATTAGTGGCCTATCCAAGCACCACTCTCAAGAGACTCTATGTGAGCTCTTCCAGTTCGAAATATTTTTCCTCTCCTCAAGTCCTAGGCTAGACTCATGCCATAGGCATCACATGCAATCATGCATCATACATCATAATGGTCTGCCCACCATCATGATCAACAACCATACACATGTCATAAGACATCACATGCAATAATGCATCATACATCATAAATGGTCTACCTACCATTATGATCAATACATACCATATGAACGTATCATATTCAAACATTCATATATATCATCACAAAGCATACATATGAATCACACCTCACCATACATCATATATCATACATACATGATCTAAAACTTCAACTTTAAACATGCATAAGCATCAATTCATTCATAAATATATTCAAGCACAGTGCCGTCAACTCGCGCCTGGCCTAACACCAACCCAAGAGCTCTAAGCTCTTCCACGCCTGATACGCTCAACCTGCGCCCGGCCTAAAACTATTCAGAGAGTTCAAAATTCTCATCCAAACTAACAAATTCAGCCACATGCAAACAATCTAGCTTCCCTTACCTGAAGATTGGCTCAGATAGCCAAAGACTGAATCAAAAGTATAATTTCCCCTCGAGGCTCAACTCGAAACTTCAGTCCTCCCAAAACAAGCTTTCTAATCTGAAATTCAAGAAAAGACAGAAGGAGTTATTGATCTAGAGGAGAAAAGGAGTTAAACAGAGAAATTTGGGAGAGAAAGGAGCTCACTGACCCAGAGACCTTCTCTCTAAAACTTCTCTCTAGAACCATAACTCCTCACGGCCCCCCCTTCACCCCTATTTATAGGCAATCCGGAGTGACCAGAACGGCCCGTACCGATACCGGAACGGCCCGTTCTGAACTCCCAGATCACGCACAAAATCCACGCCCAGAACGGCCCGTTCCGGGACTCATCCGGAACGGCCCGTTCTCCCTCAGGAACAGCCCGTTCTCCCTCCGGAACGGCCCATTCTCCCTCCGGAACGGCCCGTTCTCCTTCCTAGAACGGCCCGTTCTCCTTGCCGGAACGGCCCGTTCTCAACTACAATATGTAGTTCAATTCAGTAGTGTGGAACGGCCCGTTCCAGTTTGGGAACGACCCGTTCTGGGCTACTGAATCAGCCTTTTTTTATATTTTATTTTATTTTTTTTTTTTTTACAATGTTACAACAAACCTGTTTCAACTCCTATTGATTACAATTCTAAACTTCATCAAGCTGCTGGCTCTCCTCTCTCTTCCACTGATGCTTCTTCTTTTTGAAAGCTCATTGGCCGACTTATATACCTCACGAATACTAGACTTGACATCACTTATGTTATGCAACATTTAAGCCAATATGTTTCTAATCCCACAAAAACACATAACCAAGCAGCACATCGAATTCTAAGGTACATCTTCAGGCTTTTAGTGACTCTGACTGGGCTGGCTGCCTAGATACTCGAAAATCCATTACTGGCTATTCGGTTTATCTTGGTTCTTCTTTGATTTCATGGAAATCCAAAAAGCAAGCTGCTATCTCTAGAAGCTCTTCTGAAGCTGAATATCGAGCACTTGCAAGTACTGTTTGTGAATTACAGTGGTTGACATTCTTGCTCCAAGACTTTGCTGTTTCATTTACCAAGCCAGCTACTTTATACTGTGACAACAAATCTGCTCTTCATATCGCTGCAAATCCCGTGTTTCATGAGCGTGCTAAACACATTGAAATTGATTGTCATATTGTCAGAGAAAAGGTTCAAAATGGTTTAGTCAAATTGCTTCCAATCTCTTCTGCCAATCAATTGGCTGATATATACACATAAGCTCTTTCTCCTGCAGCTTTTAAATTCCTACATGTCAAGCTTGGAATGAATGATATTCATTCCAGCTTGAGGGGGGATCTTAACTAATAGTAGTTAGTTGATTAGCTTAGATAATTAACCATGATGGTTAACAACCAGTTAGGTTGTATATAAAGATATGATGACTACCTTTGTATATATGATATAATTCAGAATCAAATAACAGAAACAGTTTCTTCTCTATACTCTCTTTTCTTTTCAGATTCTTTGAGTCTCCTTTCTTTCGTTCATGGATTTTGCCATTGTTAAGAATTTTAGAGTTTTTTTTTTCTCTTTAAGAAAATACTGATTATGTATATGTTAAAGGTTCATCCCAAAAGAAACAATTAAAGTTACAATTAATTTTATTTATGAGCGTCTTAAAGTATCTATAGAAATAGTTGTTTTTCACTTATCAACATTATTTGGCTTTAGTGCTAGTAAACACTAATGGTTAGATTTTTTTATTACTACTAACATCAATGTTTCAATACAAAGTTGTCTAAATCAATAAAGGTTTAATGATATTAAAAGATACATACATATAAGACTTGACAAAGTCGGTAAATATTGCAACTTTTGACATTTTAGATTGTTGTTATTGGCATGTGTTTAAAATTAAAAGACAATTTTGTTGAATCTTTTAATTATGATTTTAGTTTATATTTGAACAAATCAATGTGATTATGAGTTTCTTTTAAAATGATAGGTTCAATTTGTCTTCTAACATCAAATATTATTGGAGTTCATCCAGTTATAACTTGTGATAATTTATAACTACTTGTTATTATGGCCTCTTGTTATAAAACCTGTGAATGTGGAATCATATGACATTAAGCATAAAGTTGACAAAATCACTTTAGGAAAAAGGTTGAAGACTACAACTTATACTAATTGAGTACCAACTAAATTGACCAAGTAATCACTTTCAAGTCTCAAGATTTCCAATTGAAGTCATACCTTATAAGCTTTACATAAGGAAATTGGAATTCTAAGTTGTAAGCATTCATCTTATTGGTTACTTTGGAAGGCCAAAGGAGTATGCATTATAATCCCATGTTAAAGAATTTTAAGATGAGATAATTGTTATTAAGTTCTTGGATGATATTGAGCTTAAAGTCTAAGGTCAAAGAACAAAATTTTTAAAGAAGAATTTGTGTTAATTTTTGAACAAATTCATCCCGTTGCTATTAATATATATAGTGAATTTGGATCATTGTGAAGATATTGTTGTTTTTCCTCACATTTAAGATAAAATTTTTATTTATGAAGGTCAAAATCATCTTCATGAGCTTGAGCTTTGCTACCTAATTTTATCTTTTTGTTGACCATTTAGGAGAATATAAAAATTATTTTAGACTTTTATACAGTATTTCTTAAAAAATAAAGTAAATTACACAATAAAAAATGATTTTACCAACTTTTAAACTATAAGAAGTTTCAATTCAGAATAATGAATTGAAACAATAAGTGGAGGCAAAGTAACAAACTCATACAAAATAATAAGTTTGAAACTTGTTCAATTATCAAAAAGTATCAAAGGCAATACATTGTTATATGCATTTTTATTCTTTATTAATATACTAACTTGTAGCCTTAACTTAGCATGTGGATTGTATAAGATAAATATCTTCTTATGTACTACTATAAATATACTAAATAATAAATAAGTATTTTTAAAATTTTATATTAATATTAATATTTATAATAAGTAAGTAATTTTAAATATATAATTTATAATAAATAATTTATGTTGTGATCAATGTTATTCTTAAATTAAAACAAATAGGAAATTGAGAAAATATTATCTATAAATGGAATGCAACTCACAATAGAATGAAAGAGTGCATTGAAAACTACTAGGTAAGAAAATAAGGAGAGTCAGAGTTTTATTATATAAGAAATTTAATTTAATTTATTATTTATTATAATAGAAGAGAAAGTAATTAAGAATTCATTCTTTAACTAATAGAAATTTTATTTTCAACTAACAAATAACAAATATTAAGGGATACAAATTTCAAATAAAATGTGTATATGAAAATGAGAAATCTCCTTTATAAATTGATATAGATTTATATTTTGACAACTTAAAAATTTAATATAATTATTATAATTAGATATTAATTTAATTAAACATAATAAATAATACTTTAGCATATAAAAATCAATAATAAAACTTACAAAATTAATTTAATATGTATAAAAATTATTAAATATTCTTTTGAAATAAAAAATATTATAAGTAAAGAAATTAATGATTTGATGCATTATTATTTGGTTAATTTGTTGGAGTAGTTTGTGTTCTCTATTATTCATTGAAAGAATCAAATTTAAATACATCACAAGAACTTTTTAGGGATGTAAAAAAATTCTTACCGGTGGAAATAAAATTCGCAAATGGGTAAAAAATAAATATTGCAAATGAATATTTGTGGGTTATATAGGAGTATTGATATATTTTATAGTTGTATATTAACGAGATAAATATGAAAATCATGATATGTGTACTTGCTAATATTCAATTTACATAAATATCCTTATATATTGACTTTATTGTGTTGAACCCGTTAATATTCAAATTCTTAACATACTTTCAACATTGTGTTGAATGTGATTTTATTAACTTTTATAATTTTATTTAGACTTGAATTTGATTTTTATTTCAATTTTGTTTGGACTAATAATAGTCAAATATTGTACTTTATTATCTATCATTTTGATTTATATGTAATTGAATATTTTATTTTAATAATTATTGTTTAAACTTTAAATTTATGTAATTCAGTGTTTTAAATTCGTTTCTAAATCCACTTATTGTGATTAGTATAATTGGGAGAAGTATTTAAATTTAAATTTTATAATTTTTAAATTTTATTATATGCAGATTTTATTTAAATTTTATTTATAATCTTTAATTTTTTATGCATATTTTATTTTGTAAATTTTTATAAATTTTTAGAAAAAATTATTACAAATAATTAAAATATATTATTAAAATATTTTTTAACAAATATATATCCAACAGAGAGAAAGCTGAGGACTAATACTTGAATCCGTTCCACCGTTGACATCCTAATACTCCCAACGAGAGCATTAATAGTTGGTGTGGGCATCGGGTGATTACCCCTTGTCATTTGTAAATAATTTTTTTTTCTTCTAAAATATAAGTTTTTTAAATTTTAAAATTTGAAACATTGAATTATTTTTCCATCACTATTTTGCCCTAAAGCTTATTTAATATATGAAAATTATTTTTTATTTAAATTAAATTAAATATATCAAAGTCAATTTTCAATAAACTTATTCAAACAAAATTCAATCTAATTAAAAATAATTATTAATTTACACATTTCTTTAGCTCAACCTCAACGTGTCCATCACTTTTAAGAAAAATAAACACAAATACAAAAATTTCTGCTCATCAATAATTTGAACAGGTTATTTAAAACCTAACGACATTATCCACTTTAAATTTAAAAATCCTAAATCATTTAAAATTCACATGAATTGTGTGTGGCAGGATCAAATTTTGTGATTCAATCCACACTCCACAGCAAATTAATTTACCCACTTGAACAAATTGAAAGCTTGTAAATAAAATACTAATTTACCATGTCTGTCTTGGTCCCTGTCATCTGACTAGTTCCTCGTACACTCCTCACTAACATTTGTCAACACCCCAAATTCTATCACCATTATATTTTAAATTCCTCTCAACTCAATCAAATCCTCCACAATAAAAACCGCACCCACAATCCCGTTTCACTCGTCCTCGTTTTCTTCGCTCTTCATTCACTCTCAAGTCTCAACGTTTTCATTCGCATCCCCTGTTTCTTTTCCAATGGGTTACCAAGTATTAGAACCCAACCCAGCAACACAAACCCCAAACGCAAAAACGCCGGAAACGACGTCGTTGCGCTCCCCTCGAAAAATTCAAAACAACGAAAACCACGCCAACAACAACAACAACAACGGTTACGTGACCGTTACTCCCACGCTCTCAATCGTGCAGCCTCATTCGCTTCTCCCGAAGCCAGTGCCGCCAACGGTTTCCTCCAGAAACGACGCCGTCGTTTCTTCCGACTTCGGGAGATTCCTCCGCCAGCGCGGCAACGACCTGTCGTCCGCGATTTCGCGAGGGATCTCCACGCTGAAGCAGGCGATCGACGAGCAAAACGACGGCGCTTTGAGAGGAGGAAAGCGAAACGACGTGACGGAGTTCAACCTGTCGGGGCTGAAGGTAATGGTGGCGACGGTGAAGAGCGACGCGGCGTTGGCGGTGGCGCGGGGGCGAGTGAGCTTCTTCTCGCGGTCGAATTGCAGAGAGTGCGGTGCGGTGAGAAGGTTCTTCAGAGAGAGAGGGTTGAGGTTCGTGGAGATAAACGTGGACGTGTATAGGGAGCGAGAGAAGGAGTTGAGAGAGAGAACGGGGAGCGCCACGGTGCCGAAGATCTTCTTCGGCGAGAGGCTGATCGGAGGGCTGGTGGAGCTGAACGCGCTCAGGAAGGACGGCGGCGGGGAGTTGGAGAGGCGGCTGAGGAATTGCGGCGGCGAGGGGCCGGCGGCGCCGGCGTACGGGTTCGATGAGGCGGTGGGAGAGGAGGAGGAGGAGATGGTGAAGGTAGTTAGGGTTTTGAGGCAGAGGTTGCCGATTCAGGACAGGTTGATGAAGATGAAGATTGCGAGGAATTGCTTCGGTGGGAGCGAGTTGGTGGAGCTTCTTGTTCGCCACCGTGGCTATGCTCCTCCCAAGGTACCTTCACTTCTTCCTATTATTTTTCTTAGCTTCAATTTCTAATTTTCTATATTTTAACTCGCTACATTTCCAGTACTAAATGTTTAATGATTATAATATATAATTAAAATCACACATATATAAATGAATATTATAATGTATTTAAATATATAAATTATATTTAAATTTTATATAATAAATGTTTTAAATATACGAAATATTTTTAATAACAAAAATAACTGTTCATATTTTCTATATATATATAAAAAATAAAAATTTCTTAAAAATTGTATCATAAGAAAACACTTTTTGGCTCATCTAAATCAACTGTAGATATTATTGTTAATTTTATATTTTATTATATATATATATATATATATTTGATTTTACCATAATTTTTCATAATTAATAATTATTATTATATTATATTTTTTTTTAAAAATTAAATCGTAAAAAAAATTCAAAAGTAATATGTTTTATATTTATATATAAAAATATTCTTTATTTGAATTTTTTTTTTATCTTTAAGTTATCATCACTTCTATCCACTCTAAATCTTCTTTTCTAATTGTTTATTCTATTTGAATTCAAATTTTATCTTTATAAAAATAATTGATTTTTAATATTATTTTTTATTATTTAAAAATTTAAAAATAAAATTATCTAAAAATATATATATACACCAAATAAAAACACATGTAATAGATAATGCGATCGAACAGATTCATTCATAACAAAATGATCGAACAGATTCGTCGTTTTTACCTGTGTGAACTAGTATTACTCCAACACTCCAATCGACCTGTCAGGTTACACTTTTAGTATTGAAAGTTTTTTTTTTCAGTTTTTAATTTAATTTTCTAAAGTTATTATTATTCGTTAAGTTTAAATAAATTTTGCGCTGGATTTATTTATTACGTCAATTTAGTTTTGATTTGATAATTTGACTTTGAAGCAGCGACATTTGTTTAACGTTTAATATAATATTTGATATTTTCTTCAACGTTAAAGTAGTTCCAAAGTTACTTTTTTATTTTTTTTTTCACCAGTTCCAAAGTTACTTAACAATTAAGAATTAATTCAGTAATATCTAATTTATGAGATTTAATTAGTTTTTCTGTTTGTTTTTGACTTTTGCTAGTATCTGATGATTTTCATTTATTTCCTTTTGGTAGTGATCACTGTCATTTATTAATATTTTTTAATTTTTAATTTCTACAGAAGATACGTTTAAAATAAGAGTTCATTCATAAACTAAATATAAATTTCATTTAAATTAAACAAAAAGTTAAAATCATATTTCCATAAATAAATATTTTTTTTTCAAATATTCTCTATGCTTTATTTATATGTATAATTTAATATTTTTTTGTTATGAAAGTTAATTTAATATTTTGTAAATAGTAAGGTGTAGTTATTTTTTTATTCACAAAAGAAGTATTTTTCAATTTATTTATGTTTTTTTTGGAACAATTCAAATTTCGTTTTTCATATATATATATATATATATATATATATATTATGAAATAAGCTTTATATAATCTTTTACTAGTAATTTTTATTAAAAATATGTTTTATTCATCGTTTATCATTTATTCAGTTAAAGTTATAAAAACAGAAAAGTTTAATAGTCAATATGTTGTGTTTTGTAATTTACTAAATTATGAAAAATGTAATAGTTTAATTTATTTTAATTTCACATGTCACATATTAAACATTTTTTTAGTAGTAGATAATTATCTAGTATTAAATAATTTTTAAATACTTTATTATAAAATTTTTAAAAAAATTTAAGAAAAAAATTATTAAAAAATTAATAAATAATAAATGAGCTTAAAAAAATTAAATTTAAGCTTAATTTAATCTTAATAAGTCAAATTAATTTAATCACATAAATGAGTCAAATTTAAATAATTAATTTTAGAAAAAAGTGAAGCCCAACATTCACACCCGAGTAAAATGTGTGTGAGTAAAAAGTGAAGCCCAATAAGTTATTCCCCAATAATTAATGCGCCCATGCCGAGACAAGAGTAAGAACGTAACTTGTGAATGCTTCGGTATAAATTTAAAAGTAATTATTTAAAATTTAAATATAATTTATATAAAAATAATTTGCTATTTTGGAGTATACATTATTTTTATAATTTAATTTTTTTATATATAAAAATTACATAAATTACATGATAATAATTAATAAAATATACAAAAGTTTTATATATATATAAAAATTGACGATAACGACAATCTATTCCGGTAACGGAGATACGTATAATTTATTTTAAATTTTAGTTTTATATAATAAATATTTAACCTGAATTGTACTTGTTAAAATACTCTTTAAGGAGATAAGTTCTTGAAATGTTTTTTGTGGAATAAATAAGTGTTTAATATATAAAAATAAATTTGACCATAAATTAATAATTATAATTGCATTTAATTTAATGAAAATTCACTAATTCATTTGGAAGTAGTACTGGTGCTCCTAAACTAATCGTAACGTTAAGAAAAAGAAAAAAGTAATCTACACATTGTAAGTAATGCACCACTCTTTTGCAAATTACACACGTATTTTATTTTGTTAATTAAAGTCATTTTTTCTGTTAACTGACAACTTTTTCAATTGTCGTATACTCATATTTATAAAATTGCTTTTAGTTGGGACTCGATTAATAGCTGCACCTTCTGGACTAACAAAATCCTACTTGTAAAGTTAATTGCTTTTGCCTGTACCAATACTCATTCACAAAAATAAAAATAGGCCATTCAGTTACTATTTCGTGATTTAGAAATTACATGCTACAGTAATAATTTCTAGTTCCTGAGAATGATGCATTGCTTTTAATGTTGCAATTTCAAACATTGGTCGACAATTTTGTTTCTCCAACTGTAACGTTTCCCCTAAATGTTTAGGCTGTTGAGATTGGAAAACAGTTATGCAAGAAGCACTTCATTCATCATGTTTTTGGGTAAGAGAAGAGCTTTTGAATCTAATGAAACTCCAAAGTACATTGCCGTGATTATTGTGTTCTTTCTTGTTATTGTGAACTTTGTTCTGTAGGGAAAATGATTTTGAGGAGGGAAACCACTTCTATAGATTCCTTGAGCACGAACCGTTTATCTCCAAATGCTTTAACTTCCGAGGTGCCACAAATGATACTGAACCGAAGGCTGCAGCTGCAGTGTGTGATAGGCTTACCAAGATTATGTGTGCCATTCTTGAGTCTTATGCTTCTGAAGAGAGACGACATGTTGATTATGTGGCCATTAGCAAAAGCGAAGAGTTTCGGAGGTATGGCACATGCAAACATTCTGTGGATTTTTTCAATATGCATATCGCAAACAAGGCTGCATGTCTTTTGTTCTCGTGTGTACCACTTATAGTTCATTGAGTTCCTGCTTCTTCAAAGTTTATTTCTTGCCGATCCATAATTTTATCATTGCTCACATCCCTTGTGAATTAATTATCTAACGACTGGCAGTGGTGCCAAACTATTATTCGTGGTAATAAAGTAATAATTTACAAACCATGATAAAATGTTAATCATATGAGTTGGAATAATTTACAAGACAATTCCTTGTTGTCTATGCTAAACTTGTTATTTTTTCCCTGCATCATCTCTGTGCTCACTGTTTTGTTAAGAATGCAGTTAACTTTTAATCAAGTGCATGTACTTTTGATATACTTGTAGAGAACAAAAAAAGGAACTATGTGCCACAGTTATCATCTTTTACGTATCTGAAGTTAATTTCTTGTTTCTAACTGCAGGTATGTAAACATGACCCAAGATCTGCAGCGTGTGAATCTCTTGGAATTATCAGAAAACGAGACGCTTGCCTTCTTCTTGAATTTGTACAATTCCATGGTCGTCCATGCTATGATTAGAGTAGGGTGTCAAGAAGGTGTAATTAATAGGAGATCCTTCTCTGATTTCCACTATTTGATTGGAGGCCATCCTTATTCTCTTAGTACTATTAAAAATGGTATCCTCAGAAGCAATCGGAGGTCACCATACTCCTTTATCAAGCCCTTTGGCACAGGAGACAGGCGCTTAGAGGTATGCTTCTTTTTATAGGGTTTTGGATAATTTCATGTCGGTTGGTTGGTTGGTTTAAGCCTTACTATTAATGAACAAGTAAAAATTTCGGGACACATTAAATCAAATTCCTTATATACTTTTCACCAAGTTTTCAAATCAAACAATGAAATGAATTTTTGTTTCTCTGACATTAAATGGAAGATCATGATGCTGACTAAACCAAAGTTTCTCCATGTCTTTATTTGATTTAGGAGCTTGATGGCAACGAAGCAAGAAACTTGGTCTAAATGTTGTCTTAAAATAAATCACTAAAGTCAGCCTAATAGTGGGGTAGAGTTTGAGTACATATTTTTAAAGAGTTTATAATTAATATATTTTATTAAATTAAGATAAAATAAAAAATCTTAATTAGAAGTATTTTAGTCTAAAAACAATTGATATATAAGACAATATGATCTGGATTTTATACAAAAGAACAAACAATTTTTTTAACTTGAGTCTTATAAATAAGAATGGAGGTAGTTTTTTTTTTCCCGTTATTTCTAGTAATTCCTTCCTCATAGAAATAACTTACTTTCATTAAGAAAGATTAACTTGTTCCAACCAAACTGCAGCATGCTCTTGTCAAAATGAATCCGTTAGTTCACTTTGGACTTTGTAATGGCACGAAGTCGAGCCCAAAGGTGAGATTTTTCTCACCTTATAGAGTTGCAGAAGAATTGAGATGTGCTGCTAGAGAATTTTTTGAGAATGATGGAATTGAAGTGGACTTGGAAAAGGGGACCATTCATCTCTCTCCAATTTTCAAGTGGTAAGCAGTTTGTGAATTTATACAGCCTTGGTTTTGATTTTCAATTTCTAGCACTCTGCTTAGGAAATATTTATATTGGCAGGTACTCTGCAGATTTCGGACAAGAAAGAAACATACTGAAGTGGATAATAAATTACTTGGATGCAAATAAAGCAGGTCTTTTGACACATCTCTTAGGTGACGGTGGCCATGTTAATATCTCATACACGAGTTATGACTGGTCAATAAATTCCTGAATTATTGTGAACGGATTTGATTCGGCTCCTTTAGCAGCTGAATTGACCAGATATTTGTTGTACATATTTCAGATTTTGATTTGTTAGTAGTGTCTAAAAGCGATAGTTCGAGTGTAATTGATACCAAAACAGAGAGTTTAGAAGAGGTGTTTCTTTTTGTCTTTTTGATCGTATAATTTGTAAACCAAAACCAGGTGCAAATCAATGATGCGCAGAAGTTTTAGTTTGTACTGTTTTCAGCCTTGATTTTGTTTGATGTAGCTGTGAAAGTAGCAGTATCTAGATGACAACGACCAAATTCTTGAGTTTTTACCTGCTTGAGATTTAATAGTTCAGTTTTTAAAAGCTGGACTTCTAAAATTGCAGTTCAGTACAGTGCTGAACTAGCTGCACTGCTGAAATAGACTTGTAAATCATCTGATTATCTTTTGAATGCGCATAATCTTTTTAAAAAATGTTAGCTTGGGAGTTTTTTAACATGTAGCATGTAAGATAGCACAACGTGCATGCAAGATAGATGAAATCAACAATTACCAAAAACTGATAGTACACATTTCACTGATTACAGAAAGAATTCTTATTCCATGGCATCAAGCACGAAAACAATCTTTAGTGTCCCTATAGCACTCATGAACAGAAAAGTGAGTTAGAAAGAAAGAGAATCTCAATACCTTCTTTTTCACCTTTAAACCAAAAATTATTCTATTTATATTTAAGCTATTTCTTCATGTAATTCTTTAGCCACCCACTTTCTCTCCTGGATTGCACTTTTATTCTTTGCCATAATTTCCACACCTTCATCTATGTGTCCCATTTGTATTGGCTTGCTTATAATGGTCTCCACCTCATCTTTATTTTGCACTCTCCTTACATAGCAATATCTGTACTTTTTGGTTTTATTCACCGTCAAACACTCAAAACAGATTCTAGAGCCAGCGAGTTTTGATAATTAGAATCCTAGCAGTTTCCTATATATGATTAACAAAACTAATTGCTTGGATCAATGATAAATCTACGATTTGAGTGTTTTCCTATAGGTTCAGTATAGTTTAGTTCAGTTTAGAAGTAAAAAATACTTAAATTCAATTTTGGCCAGAACTGATTTCCAATTCAGTTTAGATAAATAATTTTTTGGTTCAGTACTGTGCAGTTTATTTTGTCTACCTCTATACATTAACCAAGGGAACCGTAGCAATCAAATAATTGGAAAGATAGTACAAAATTATTTTTCTTAGGATGCTACTAATATTTTATGTTAAGAAAAAAAACCATTAAAAAATATTTATGAAATTAGATATAGGTTTCAAAGTCGGTTATGTATAGGAGATGTATTATTCTACAATACTTGCCAAAAATAGTACTTCTAATTAATCATACATATCATATAATTTTATAAATATTTAATTTAACCCAACAAGAAGATTTTTTTTGCTATTTTTTATATTTATTTTAACTTTTTTATTTTTACAAAAAGGGAAAAACTTGAATATATATAATTCTATAAATTCACATTTAATATAAAATTATTGAGCGGTGTAATACTTAGTAAAAGTTATATCAGTGTTGTTTGAACTCTCCTCATATATATATATATATATATATATATATATATATATTTTGTTTATTATTCAATTTAGTTCGCAATATTTCAACCTTATTTATTTTTGTAATTTAATTTACAATTATATATAAATCCAATTCTTAATTATGCTGAACATCCATCTAAAATTAGGCGGTTAAATAGCGACATATATACATTGAAATATAAACAGATTATTACCGTTTTTTATGCTATCATTATTTTACGATTTTTTTTAGGATACTCATTAAAAAATATATCAGTGTTTTGTGTGCTCTCCTCATATATATATATATATATATATATATATATATATATATATATATATTTTGTTTATGTAGAGAAAAAGTTTAAAATCTAAAAAGACATTTCTTTGGGGATACTTGGTGTTCATGATGAAATCATTATAAAGAAATTGTCATATAGTAATATATATCCTATAATGACACAATATATGTCATTAAAAAATACTTTTACTCATACACTAAATAAAATATATGTTGGTATATTGTTAAAAAGTGTTGGTATAAACTATAGTGAACATAAAATATATTATTAAATCACATTCAAAATCAATACTTAAATTACGTGTAACTATATGTCAAATAAATATATATTTAGATATATTGTACCTATAATGACATTTTTTTGTATGTATTATATGTAACATTTTTTGTAGTGAGTGATGAATAGACATGTTGATCTTCTCAATTATAATCATCTCTATTTGTCATTTGTGTATCAAGGTGTGCCTATTGGAGTTAATGCAAGAAAATAGGAAGTGTGGAGGCTTGTACTCGAGAAAATGTGTAAAAAGCTAGTACCATGGAGGCAAAATTTTATGTCTATTGGTGATGGAATGTGTTTGATAAATTTAACTTTATCATCTTTAGTTCTTCCTCTTTTTACAATGTATCTTGCAAAGTTGCAAAACTCGTTACAAAAATGCAGCGTGATTTCTTGTGGAATGGTTCAAATGAAGATAGATTTACGGCTTGGATAAATAATAAACAATTTTGCAAAAGGAAGGAACATGTTGGACATAGGATACATGATATGTCAATGTTTAAAATAGCACTTATCACTAGAGGTAAAGATCTTTAGTTGAAGTCAAGTCTTTATAGGTTATATTACTAAAATCTAAATATGGTAATTAGCCAATCTCTTCTAATGATCATCACAAAACTAATATATCATGTGGCTTGATGTGTTAAGCTTGACTAATGAGAGTGAGGATAATGGTTGGTTCCCCTCGAGGTTAAGGTGTGTACTTGGCAGTGGGAATAGCTATAGTTTCTAGAACGATGATTGGTCTATGAAAGGTACGTTGAAATCTAGATATTTAAGATTGTATTTTTGTAATCAAATAAACTAACATTGGTGTTTGATATGGGCAATTGGAATGGTAATTGGAGAAGATAATTATTGGACAGGGAAATTAATGTAGTTAATGATATGTTTCGGAAAAAAATTGATGAAATGAAGTCTAAAATTAATTTTGTGGGTAGCTGGCTGTGGTCTAGAAATAGTTCGTGGATTTGTAAGAGAGTTATTATTTGGTGCATAATTTTTATTCTTCAAGTGTTAATAATAATTTAAAGCTTTTGTGGGAAATTAGGACCCATTCAAAAGTATTAGTGTTTATATGGAAAGTGCTGTTAAATCGGATTCAGATGCGAGATCAATTGGGCAAAAGGAAAATTATTCAACCCAATGAGAATTTGTCTTGGCCATTTTCCTGTGGAATTAGGTGAGCATCTTCTATTTGGGTGTTGTTTTGTTTATCATGTTTTGAAAAATTGCTACTGTTGCTTAGGAGTGCAGTTACATTTACCTACTAATTGTGCTTCCCCAATTGGGAATCATACAAAGTAGAAAATTGTAGAAATTGAACATGATTATATGGTATTGTTTATTCAATATGATTGCAAAGGAATCAATGCATATTTAATAATAAAATTTGTTGTGAAAAAAATTTGTTGAGGATGCAATTTTTAATTTATGGGGCTGAATCAATTTTAAAGTTAAAGAGATAAATCTTATGTTTTATCATTGACAAGTTGAAACTATGTTATGTATAGAAGAGTTGAAATAGCTTTTGTAGTATTTTGTTCTCTAGTACCAAATTCAAATTTAGGCCTTCTGAATTGAATTTGATAGCATGTTGTGTTGATATTCACCGTAATCATGAATTGATATCATGAACTGATGTATTTACTATTTGGGTGGAGGTTACATTTTGTGATATTTTTACCATGTCTAATAAATCTTGTCTTTAAAAAAAAAAAAAAAAGAGACTATTTTTAAAATTAAAAAATGTCTCTAAAACATACACTTGATTGTTTGTAAGGTTAAATTAACATTTTTTTTTATAGAAAATCATGTTATTAGTATAAAATATTTATCAACTTTATATTTATTATATACTATTGTGTTCAATATATATATATATATATATCTTCTTTGTCTAATAATAAATTCCTCTCACGTGATGTGTTCTATATATATATATATATATATATATATATTTTAATCTATATGAGGTACGAGATATGAAAGAAAATATTATTTATTAAATTTTACCTTTACATGTAGTTCTCAAATGATAAAATAAAAACTTCTTTTTTAATGATTCTAATTAATATAAAATATCCAAACAATTATATAATTATTTTATTTTAGATGAAATTACACTTTTAATTCCTGCAGTTGTAGACTTGTAGTTTCGCTCTCTCTCTCTTTGTTGCCAAATTTTAGTCTAATCTGTAAATTAAATTATGATGTGATATTTATATTAATATTAATTAATGACATGTCAATGTAAGAGTGACATGGTGACTCATAAATAGATGAGATTGTACTCCAGTGTTGACACACACTTGTGACCTGGTGTTGACATGATAATAAAATATAAAAATTATTTAAAAATGATAAAAAGTGATCTTATGAAAACTAAAATTCGTCATTTAAATCACTTAACTCTTAAAAATATAACTTGAATACTAAATAATATAAACATTACTGCTTTGAGTTAATTATTTTTTTTAATTTCCTTATTCAATGTTAATCATATTTAAAAATTAATAAATAATAAATTTATTTAATAAATTAATTCTATAATATAATTTTTATACAACCAATATAAACATATAATTATTTTTTTCCTTTTTTTTAACTATATTTTTATCTAATAAATAATAAATTTTATTATTTAACATGTTTTTATATAATAAATAAAAATAAAAATGTACCATATAAAATAAATTCATATATTAAATAATATATATATATATATATATATATACACACACACAAATAATATGCTATTTATTCTATATTGTATTTTTTGTTACAATTTATTTTATATTTCATGTTTAAAAATTATATAATTAATTTACTGAAAATTCTATTATTTTTATTAAATAATTTTATTAATTTTAAATTAGGTTAACATTAGATAAGGAATTTAAAAATTAATTAACTCGAGTAGTTATTAGATCAAATAACGATTTTAGATATCTTAGTAATATATGTTTTAATGTTATAAAACTTGAACGTTTTTGATACACAAATGTTTTCAAGATTGCACAAGAAACACGATAGCATAAGATGATTAGCTATGATGACATGTATATTGATAAGTCTTTTAAACAAAATACTTAGTCTGTCTAAGATGAACACATTGGATATGTCATTTATTATGTTTGACAATCATATCATTTATTTATATGTTATTCCTTAATAGATTGAAGGAATAAAAGTTTCTTTGATACTTGAAATTAAAAAATGAATAGAGATCTTCTTTTCAGACAAAGGACAAATAAATATCTCCAAGTGTGCAAAATCATCTAAAAAGTCATTTTCATCTGGTATATACAATAGTTTCTCCCATTTAATTTGTACCATAAAGGTGATAAACATACTTAATCAGATAAAGAGTGACAATTTGATGAAATGTATATAATGCTTACATGTAACGGACCAACGGACATCTTATTTTACAAGGAAGGAGAGCGAAGAATGATGAAGCAAGCCTATGAGTGAAGTTTAATTAAGAATTTGCAATGACCATCTTCATCAAACACCTATATAAAGAAACTTGCAGACTCAGAAAGAAGAGAAAATAACTTCAACTCTTCTATTTATTCTTTCCGTGTAAAGCTCTATACTTAAAAATTGTATAACTTCTTATGAGAAAGATGTAACAATTGTGATTCTTACTCAACTTAAACTTTTGTGCTTTAGCTTGAAGTTTGGAAAAACTTTCTCGTAAAGAGAATATTTGGTTTTGAAGTGTGGAGAGGCTTCATTGATCAAAGAATATTTGGATAATTGTTTAAAGAGACAAGTTAAAGAATATTTAGGTTAAGTTAGAAGTTACTTATGAAAAAATACTTGTATATTTGTAAAAAATAGTGAAATTTAATCAAGTTGATCAAAAGTTGAACATAATCTTGGTGGTTGAGACAAACTAGTATAACAATATTTGGTTTCTTTGTTTCTCGCTTCATCTAAAGTTGAATATAGTTTTTGTAGTTGAGACGAACTAATTTCTAAATTTTAATATTTAAGAAAAAATTCTTACTTATTGATTAGTTTTTTTTTTAATTTTTTCTTTCACAAATTATTCATCCATTATAATTAAAAATATATATTTATTAAGAGAGAGAACTATTTTAATAAAATTATATAAAAAAATATATATCCTTAATCAATGTGTATAAACTTTAAATTGTAGATACTGTGAGATAGAAATAATGAATAAATGCAATAACAAGAATTCTAGTTTATTGACTAATTATGGATCAAAAGCAATAACAACAATCTTAGTTTATCGACAACAATAACAAGAATCTTAGTTTATATTTTCAGTTTATGACATAGAAAAATGGGAGTTGGACAGTGAAGCAAAAGCTGAGAGATAATAACATAATTTGTTGATATTAATTTACAGCCACATTATCATACCAGAAACAATGTAATGCCTTAAAATTTGAGCAGTGCCATTTGCCTTATAAATAATAATGTTTACCACCCCAATTATAAGCCATCATTTAAAATTAAGGTTCACCATCTTCAATATTGGTGCACACAAGAAAAGAAAAAATGGCAAGCTTCAAAATTTTGTGTGTTATATCCATCTTAACCCACCAATTAGCATTCTTGGCCAATGGCATGCATTGTAGAAAGAGCCTCGTGCCAGCTTTGTACGTTTTTGGTGATTCTAGCTTAGATGCAGGAAACAACAACAATCTTAACACTCCTGCTAAGGCAAATGTATTTCCCTATGGCATAGACTTCAATAACTGCTCCACCGGTAGGTTTAACAATGGAAAAACCTTTGCTGACATCATTGGTAAGTTTGCCACGTGTGGTGTTGTGCATGTTCACGTTATGTTAAACTTAATTACTTCCATTATTCTTCAAAGCTCTAAAATGGCATTCTATCAGAGATCTTTCATCTTACATATGAGATGATTTTAAATATTTGAATAATAATTATAAATTTAAAAAGTCTTATTCCTTTTTTTTTTATCATTTTAAGAAAAGTAATTACATGAATAAAAAATAATTTAGTATAATTGTTTTTCTAACCTATTCTGCATTTGTACAATTGTTCTTGTTCATAGCTATTAGCTTGGGTTTGCCAATGCCACCTCCATACTTGGGTGTGTCTGAAATAGAGAGATATCAAGTAGCCACAGGGATTAACTATGCATCAGCCTCATGTGGAATCTTGAATTCAACCGGAGATGTAAGAGCAAAAAAATAAAAATAAAAAAATAAAAAAATCCCCATTTTGTTATGAAAATGTGAATAATTAATTATTCTCGTTGCAACTCAATTGTTAATTGTTGACCATATTTTTATTCTTTTAATAAAGGGATCATGCTTGTCATTGGACAAACAAATTGAATACTTCACCTCAACTGTGAAGAACGATCTTCCAAGAATCATACAAAGCACAACAAAATTGAGGCATTACTTATCCAAATCCATATATCTACTATCAATTGGACCCAATGATTACATGTTGAATTATTTGAAAAATAATCCAATGGAACCCAATAATAATCTCAATCCAGAACAATATGCAAATTACCTCATAGAGGAACTGGCTTCACGTATAAAGGTAATTTTCAATTAAATACTTGAAGATTGAACATTTTTTTTTTCAATTATGTTTCCTTTACTTTACCCTTTATTTTGCAGAGAATTTATGATCTAGGAGCACGAAAATTTGTGATCAATAGTATTGGGCCAGTTGGGTGCATCCCTGCTATTGTCATTAGGACACCACATTCCGAATATTGCAATGAAGAAATCAATCAAAAGGTTAAGCCCTACTCAGAAAAACTCCCTGGGAAGCTCCACGATTTGCAAACCCAACTCTCAGGTTCATTGTTCATTAATTTGGACAGTTACAACTTCTTCATGAAAATAAGAAATTCCCCACAAATATTTGGTAAGCTTCCATTAGTATTCCCTTGTAAAAGAAGAAACAAAGTTCACGTGTTTTTTCTGTTTTACTTTGATAAAAAAATGCACTTCTTTGATGATTTTATTGACACTTATTATGATTTCAGGGTTCTCAAATGTTTGGGATTCATGCATTCAAGGAGCAAAGCCTTGTGAAAATCGGAAGGAGTACTATTTTTATGATTCTGCTCACAGCACTGAAGCTGCAACTAAAATATTTGCAGAGGAGTGTTTTAGTGGAACCCGATTATGCTTTCCTTACAATATTAAGAGATTAGTTCATGCGCATTAATACATCTATAGAATATGTTAAAATAATGTGTGTGCAACGAAAATTATGTCTCATGAGCATATATTAACTCTAAGTTATCATCTTTGAGATATTGTATTAACCATATTATATAAAAATATTGGACTATATGTTCTTCAACTTTTATATTTGTTAATTTTGTTTTTCATTTTTTTATCGTCTTCTGTCCATATACGATTAACGTAAAAAAGACATTTTATATCTTCATATATACTTTAAAAGATAAAAAAAAAAAAAAGTAAGTGGATAACGATGAGAGAATTTAAATAGTTTTTGAGTAATTTTGAAAATAAAAAAATAATGGTGTGTTTGGATGAGGAAGTTATATTGGGTAATTCATTTATTTGAAGAATTTCAAATTTCTTGAGGTGAAATGCTTTGTTTGGATGAGAAATTTACAAAGAATTTGAAATCCAAGCATTTGTGAAATTCCTTAAAATAGTAGAATTTCAAATTCTCCCAAAAATGGAAGAATTTGAAATTTCTCATATTTGTTTTTCTTATTTCACTTATATATTTTATCTTATCTCTTCATTCTTTTAATTATTGGATATTCAAAAATATTTTTAAAATTATTAAATATTATCTTATATTAATTTTTAAAATTATTAAATATTATCTAATATTATTTTTTAAAATTATTAAATATTTAAAAATGGATTAATATTTATTTTTATAAAATTTAATTTAAAAATCTCAACATATAAATATATTTTTATAATCAATTTTACTATGATGGAATCAAATTATCATATTCAACCTAACAATTTAAAATTTAAGAAATTTGAATTGACTCATCCAAACAAAATATTTTAAGAATGATAGAAATTGAAATAAAAGTAATTCAAATACCAAGAATTTAAAATTCCTTGAATTTGTAAAATTCCTCATCCAAACACACTATAAAGCTAAATAAAAAAATTATGGAGAAAGAAAAAGTAATTTGGGAGATAATAATTATACGAATAGAATTATCTACAAAATATATTCTATATACTAAATTGGTGAATCTTTTTATTATTAATATGATAAATACTATGAACACATTTTTCTTATTGGTTGAAATTTATTGAAACACAAAATATGGTGGATCTCACACTTTATTGTTTGACTCTCTCATAACTTTGTGATTTAAAAAAAATCTAATGAATAAAAATTAGCATGTTAAGTGAAGTGTGTTACTAACACTCCTGTTATTAGTATGTAGATTAACATATTATATTTTATAAAGATTTTGAATTTGTTATCAAAAGGCGAGTATTAATGATTATGTTGTTCTTAGTATAGAAAATAAAATAAAATCAAGTTTTCTTATTTCAAATAATTTTAGTATAACAAATATATATACATGAATAAAGGATAAATATCCAAAAGATATGATAATATATTAATTACAATTATTTGAATAATTCGATCACAATATCTTAACTAATTAGACCAACACCCCCCGGAAGATGGTGGTGGATGACGCAACATCAATCAATGACATTAACCATTTATGTTGTGTAGTGCCAAGGGGTTTGGTGAGAAAATCTACAAGTTGATGGTTAGAAGGAACATGAGACACTTTGAGTTCTTTCTTGGTAATTAAGTCACATACAAAGAGATAATTAATGGAAATATGCTTCATACAGAATGAAACACCGGGTTGGCACAAAGATATGTGGCTACAATGTTGTTAGAATAGATGATTAGCTCAGCAACAATATGAAGTTGAAGTTCCTAGAATAGCTCCTTCATCTAAATAATTTCAGTTATAGTTGATCCAACGGTATGATATTTTTCCTCCATGGATGATTTGGCTACTATTTTCTACTTTTTACAAGACCAAGAGATAGCATTGAGACCAAGGTAGATAATTTAAGTTGTAGATGATTTCATGTCATATGAGTCTCCACCCTAGTCTGAGTCACAAAATGCCCGTAAGTGAAGGTCAAAAGAATGTTCAAGGTGACGACCATAATCCAAAGTGTCTTTGAGGTAACAAAGAAGGTGTTTGATAGCTTGCATGTGAATTGTCGTTGGAGCATGCATTTATTGTAAGAGTTTGGAGACAAAATATGTAATATCAGGTCAAGTCAAAGAGAGGTATTTAAGTGAGCCAATGAGGTGACGATACTCTTGTGTGTCACATAAAGGTGTGTCACCACAAACAATGAGATCACCCGAGGTAGACATAGGTGTTGAGACTAGTTTAGCATCTTGCATATTGAATTTTGGTAGAATGTTGTGAATGTAATGGTGTTGTGTGAGGAAGATACCATTCGAGGTGGGAACCATCTCAATGCCAACAAAATAACTAGGTGAGCCAAGGTTTTTGAGCGAGAAGTTGTCTATAAGAGAGCACTTGAAAGAAGTAAGAAATTATAAATCATTACCTGTAAGTAAGAGATTATAAGCATAGACAAGGAAGTATGCTATGACCTGACCACTATTGTAAATGAACAATGATATGTCAGACTTTTAATTTGTGAAGCCAACACTCAACATAAATTGTTTTAGTGCATGAAACCAAGCCTAAGGGGCTTGCTTGAGGTCGTAGAGCACTTTGTAAAGCTTGTACACATGATCAGGGAATTGAGGGTGGAAGAAACTGGGAGGCTAACACATGTATATGTCCTCCTCAATGGTACCATATGAAGAAAGGAATTGTTGACATCCATTTTCCTCAAGTGCATACATTTTGAGAGAGCCACACAAAAGACCAACTTTATTGTTTGTGGCTTGATGACTGGGCTAAATGTGTCGCTGTAGTCAATACCTTGACATTGGTGAAAGCCTTTGGCCACTAAACGAGCTTTGTAACAAGCAACGGTGCCATCCATGTTATGCTTGATACACTATACCTATTTGTTGCCAATGATGTTGAAGTGATATTGTTTTGGGACCAAGGTCCAAGTCCCATTCACCATAAGTGTTGTGAATTCTTCAAACGTGGTAGATTTCCACTCATGAACTTTGAGGGTTTGAGAAAGGCGTGAGGGCTCAACTGGTTCTGATATAGGGAATTGTTTTTCTATATATAATTGTTTTGGTTTAAAGATTTTATTTTTGGAGCATGTGACCATAGGGTGGGTGGATTGTAGTTAGGCATGGCAACGGGGCGGGGTGGGGGCGGGTTTTAC